TCATTAACTCAGTCACACGCTCACTGACACATTCATTAACTCAGTCACACGCTCACTGACACATTCATTAACTCAGTCACACGCTCACTGACATATTCATTAACTCAGTCACACGCTCACTGACACACTATTAACTCAGTCACACGCTCACTGACACATTCATTAACTCAGTCACACGCTCACTGACATATTCATTAACTCACTCACACGCCCACTGACACATTCATTAACTCAGTCACACGCTCACTGACACATTCATTAACTCAGTCACACGCTCACTGACACATTCATTAACTCAGTCACACGCTCACTGACACATTCATTAACTCACTCACACGCTCACTGACACATTCATTAACTCACTCACACGCTCACTGACATACTCATTAACTCACTCACACGCTCACTGACACATTCATTAACTCACTCACACGCTCACTGACATATTCATTAACTCACTCACACGCTCACTGACATATTCATTAACTCACTCACACGCTCACTGACACATTCATTAACTCAGTCACACGCTCACTGACACATTCATTAACTCACTCACACGCTCACTGACACATTCATTAACTCAGTCACACGCTCACTGACATATTCATTAACTGACTGACACGCTCACTGACATACTCATTGACTCACTCACCCACTCACAGACACACTCATTGACTCACTCAATCTACCCCCAGAACCCCTTCACTCACTTATTCACTCAGTTTTGTCATCACCACTCCTGCTCACTCTTACCGTGTCTTCTTATAATACGTCACAATCCTCGGTCAGATTCCCCTGATTCCTCAGTCAGATTCCCCTGATTCCTCAGTCAGATTCCCCTGAATCCTCAGATTCCCCTGATTCCTCAGTCAGATTCCCCTGATTCCTCAGTCAGATTCCCCTGATTCCTCGGTCAGATGTTACATGTAACATTGTTTTGTTGTCCCAGTATTCTTGGTCGTTTTCGTCACGTCGGTAAATAGCTCAAGAAACTTTTGATCAATGACTGGCTATAGCCGCTACACAGTTACATTTGATCAATGACTGGCTATAGCCGCTACACAGTACATTTGATCAATGACTGGCTATAGCCGCTACACAGTTACATTTGATCAATGACTGGCCATAGCCACTACACAGTTACATTTGATCAATGACTGGCCATAGCGCTACACAGTTACATTTGATCAATGACTGGCTATAGCCGCTACACAGTTACATTTGATCAATGACTGGCTATAGCCGCTACACAGTTACATTTGATCAATGACTGGCTATAGCCGCTACACAGTTACATTTGATCAATGACTAGCTATAGCCGCTACACAGTTACATTTGATCAATGACTAGCTATAGCCGCTACACAGTTACATTTGATCAAATCTATAGCATGAATTATTACCGCACCAAACTGGCTTTTAACACCTACTTTCTCCTCCTCCGTCACACACAAGGTACAGAAGACAAGGCAATCAATTTTGATTACGCCCACGCAACGCCTATGCCTGTAATTGTCCCAGGGACTCTCTACGTCACATTATCTGGCAATCTGACCTCTGACCTGCCTAGAAGAGTCAACGTATACATCAACATAAAGAAATATTTCTTCGGGTTCCCTTTCTCTGTTCCCTGCTTTAGTGACGGGATCGGATCATGGTGAGTAATGAATGAGTGAGGGGTCAGTTATGGTCTGGTCAATGGTCAGTCGTGGCCGTGTGACGGGTCGGGGTCAATAGTCATAGTGGTCAGAATTGTCTATTTAAATACTCGGCAGTGGCTGTTTGCGTGAATAGTTGGGAGTTTTTAGTGGTCAGTATTGGGTAGTTTAGTGTTTAGCAGGGGCCATTCTAATGGACAGTAGTGTCTTTTTGTTTGAGCAGTGGCGATTTGAATAGTTCCAATAGCAGGGGCTTTCTGTGGTGTGTACTGACATTTGAATAGTTCCAATAGCAGGGGCTTTCTGTGGTGTGTACTGACATTTGAATAGTTCCAATAGCAGGGGCTTTCTGTGGTGTGTACTGACATTTGAATAGTTCCAATAGCAGGGGCTTTCTGTGGTGTGTACTGACATTGAAGGAATCATGATTTGAATAGTTCAAATAGCAGGGGCTTTCTGTGGTGTGTACTGACATTGAAGAAATCATGATTTGAATAGTTCCAATAACAGGGGCTTTCTGTGGTGTGTACTGACATTTGAATAGTTCCAATAGCAGGGGCTTTCTGTGGTGTGTACTGACATTTGAATAGTTCCAATAGCAGGGGCTTTCTGTGGTGTGTACTGACATTTGAATAGTTCCAATAGCAGGGGCTTTCTGTGGTTTGTACTGACATTTAAGAAATCATGTTGTCATTATTTTCATGGTGACATTATGGTGCCCATCTGTCTGGTGCCCATCTGTCCCCGTAAGTTAATTTTGTAGGGTCAATAAAACAGGTCAACTAAACAGTTAATTTATTGCATTTGTTCACCCACTAGATATTTTACTGCAGAAGTATTCTCTCTCTCACTCTCTCTCTCTCTCTCTGTCTCTGTCCCCGCTCTGTCCCACGCAGTTCGTACGAAAACATCTGTAGACAGCTGGAACAGTACGAGGCGACTGGATGTCCCAAGGCACTGCGACATTTTGGCATTCCCTGTCATTGTCCATTTTCTCCTGGACATTTCAACATCACACATCTGCCCATCAATGTGCCGAGAATTCACGGACTTGCCACCACTCTCGTCAACGTGAGTAAATCCATGACATTAGTGACATGTAAGTGACACATGACATTAGTGACATGTAAGTGACACATAATTGTAGTGACATGTTGGTGACAAATGACATAAGTTACCTTTTTATAACATGATATTGGAGACATTTTGGTGGCATATTATACTAATTATAGGAGATACATGCTGTGACATCTGATCTTAGTGACAAATTGGTAAGATATGAAATTAGTGACATGTCGGTGACCAATGTTTAGTGTCATGTTGTGGCCTAACACATGTGATACGTCGATGATCAATGTTTAGTGTCATGTTGTGGCCTAACACATGTGATATGTCGGTGACCAATGACTTTTGTGACCTGTTGGTGATGTATGACATGTATGACATATTGCAAACACATCTTTCTTGCTATACATATATGCAAGTCATCGGTGTAACATGAACTTGATTTCATTGACGTAACGACGTCGTAATGCATTCATGGACTACGTCACTCAATAGTTAGGAACTCAATCTCATTCAATAATGGACTCCATGGACTCAATAGTTAGGAACTCAATCTCATTCAATAATGGACTCCATGACTCAATAGTTAGGAACTCAATCTCATTCAATAATGGACTATATACTCAGTGGTTAGGAATTCAGTCAATCTCATCCAACAACTTCTCGTATTTAAATGTAAAATAAAAATAATAGGTTATTTACAGGTATAGTTTGTGAGTTTAATATAATGGCATGACCATTGGTTAAATTTTAACGGCATGTGATAGGTTTTAACAACAAGAAATTTAGTCGTAATATATTATACCGATGTGTTAAATTTGATAATTTTATTCTTATTTTAATCAATGAAATAGTTCGATTAGATGTTAACATAAAAGTTCGATAAGATTTCCGTCCAATGCTGACGTCATGTTTATCTCTGACCATCTACGACAGGGCGACTATCAGCTGGAGCTCAGAATCATTGAAGAGGACGGACCGGAGCTGGGGTGTCTTCGTGTCAACTTTTCTCTCAAGAAACGCCACCGTGGGTGGCTGTTCAAGATCTGACGCCAACATCAAGTGGCGCTCACCGCGCCGACCGCCTCGAAGCTCCCTAAGGTCCGAGGTAAACCCCGCACGAGACAGGCGAAAAATACGGGAAAAGGAGAGCGCAAACCTGAGAGTAAACTGAGGGCCAAATCCAGCGGACGCAATAAGTCTGAGAGTAAACTGAGGGCCAAATCCAGCGGACGCAACAAGTCTGAGAGTAAACTGAGGGCCAAATCCAGCGGACGCAACAAGCCTGAGAGTAAACTGAGGGCCAAATCCAGCGGACGCAACAAGCCTGAGAGTAAACTGAGGGCCAAATCCAGCGGACGCAACAAGCCTGAGAGTAAACTGAGGGCCAAATCCAGCGGACGCAATAAGCCTGAGAGTAAACTGAGGGCCAAATCCAGCGGACGCAATAAGCCTGAGAGTAAACTGAGGGCCAAATCCAGCGGACGCAACAAGCCTGCGAGATCTGAGGGCCAGTCGGGAGAACTGAGCGGTGGCGAGAAGCAGACGGGTCAGAGAGTGCAAGCGGATCTTATTAGAATGACCAGGCATGATGACAAAGAGAGTGGTCATGTTCAGTTTTACCATGGTATGACCAGCGGAGAAAATAAACACGGCTTATTAAGCGGACATGCCCTAAATAACACACTTGCAACCCTCAAAGACATTCACGTGGGTGATGCACTGAATAGTACGTGTGCACCGAACGTAACATGTACGCTGAAATACAATGATAGTGTCTTGAATTTTACAGGTGCTCTGAATAAATCGGGGTCACTAAATAGTACAGGTTGGCTAAAAAATACGCGTGCACAAAACAATATAAATGAACTGAATAGACCAGGTGCACTAAATAGTACTGGTGCACGGAAGAGCACTATTGGTTGGCATCGGGAGCTTCAAGGTGCTCCGACCAATGCGACTGAAATAAACAGAAGCGTAAAAACGAAACAGAAAAACGCCAATGGGAGGAAGCGAGGCAAAGACGGAAAGTTAAAGTTGAGAGTTTTGTGACAATGGGAGGAAGCGAGGCATCGACTGCAAGTTGAAGTCGAGAGTTTTGTGACAATGGGAGGAAGCGAGGCAAAGACGGCAAGTTGAAGTCCAGCGTTTTGTGACAATAGGAGGAAGCGAGGCAAAGACGGCAAGTTGAAGTCGAGAGTTTTGTGACAATGGGAGGAAGCGAGGCAAATACGGCAAGTTGAAGTCGAGAGTTTTGTGACAATGGGAGGAAGCGAGGCAAAGACGGCAAGTTGAAGTCGAGAGTTTTGTGACAATGGGAGGAAGCGAGGCAAAGACGGCAAGTTGAAGTCGAGCGTTTTGTGACAAAAACGATTGCTTGACCAGATGGCTGATAAACTCTTATCGTTGGGTTGAGTTTCAAATACACACGATCAAATCTACAAGTCAAATGTGATGATCAAAGACCATAAAGATCGATTCCAAATGTCTCGTAAAAAACTGGACTGTTCCGTTTTTAACGATCGTATCCGGTATCTCGAAAAAGTCTCTCGGGACGCTTAAATGTCCCGTTTTTGAAACCAAACACATTTCAAACCACTAAAACTTCCTAATGTATAAATGATCTGATTTGCATGTCCATAATAGGCTCTACTTCCTATGATATGCCATAGCGACGAAAAGGTTTCAGTGGTTACCTCCCATGTGGAGATTTAAATGACCTAACCATCTCCCCTTGTTATTTTGTATATTATTGTATTGATTCGTTCGTTTCTTATAATGGGAGTCGCTTAGTCGATTGATTTGTCACGTGATGAGAGTAAAAACAAGTAAGACTTCCGGTAGGCTGTATACAACACACTAGTGCTTGACAACAGTAGTCCGATACACACTGCAACTAGTAATTCAAGATGCCTAGGCAATGTTCGGCTTTTGGCTGTTCAAACAGTCAAGTTGAGGACAGCGGTATAAGTCTGCATAAGTTTCCGCTAAGGATAAAGAAAATTTAAGACAAAGTGGACCTTCGTTAATTATTCACATGAAATCTTGTTCCAACCGGTTTTTTAAATATTCCCTCGCCGCACCAATATTGAATAAACACGCAAACGACGTCATGGGCACGCACAGAGCTCAACAACAGTCTGATAGTATTGATAGTTCCCATCGAATATCGCTCACAAATTTTTCTTGAAATAACTTTCTTCCTTTAATCATAACTGACGTATATTTCTTCTTCTTCTTCTATATCTTAAGGGCCCACGATCAATTTATTGATCATTTTGGCTCCTATGCATGTAAATGGGATTTGCCATGTTTCTGTTACTGGTGGTGATGAGGAAATTATGCACTAGGGGTTTGAAGGCTTGAGGCAATAGACACAAATGTGTCTAGTGTTGTCGCCTCAACTGTTCCTTTTGAAAGATTGTTCCAGTCCCTGATTGTCTTGGGCAGGAATGAGCAGCTCCTATACTGGCTTCTTGCTGGTATGAGCCTGAATTGCCTGTCATGGCCTCGTCGCTGTCTATGGGGGAGAGGGACGAGTTTCTGTTTAATACTGGAACAGTGGACCAGCCCATAATTTATCTTGTACATCATGGAGAGCCTGGATTGTCAATTTATGTATTTCATTTAAAAAACGCAGGTATTCCAGAATATTTCGAAAGGTAAAATGTTAAAGTAACATGACATTGGGGAAGCACTGATGAAGTATCTTTTGTTGTGTGTAGCAGCCTAGTGATGGCTTACTCTCATCACGTGACCAAACAAGGAAGTGACTAAGCGACTCCCATTGCTCAAATTTCAATCTTCTACATACTGAGTTCAACAAGGGAGATAACAGTGTATCGGTGGGATGAGACAAAATTCAAGCCATTGCCCTTATATTTAAAATTTAACTTTCAAGCTAATTCCAATACTTTAAAGGGTGATAATGACAAGGACGATAATCAGCTGTTTTGAAATCATGGCGTATTTTTATCAGAGGCGTAGCGAAGGGGGCAGGGGCGGACATATGTCCCCAGTCGTTTTGATATTATTTTATTGATGAAAATAATGGGTTTGAGAGTTGAAAAAAAAATCGGGGTCGGGGGTGCTTTAAAATGGATCTTGTCCCCTGTCGCCAAACAGTCTTGCTACGCCTCTGATTTTGATCACGACATATCTTATTAGACCAATGTTCCCTTTAAGCTGTGCGACCGTGCAGCTATCTCACAGACGCCGCGCAGCAGTTTTGAGTATCCGCTCAGCAAATTTTCATGTAAGTGTGTGTTTGTGAACAGTAAAATTTTGCACAAAAAAAAAAAAAAAAAAAAAAAAAAATGAATTTTTAAAAATTTGCAAAAAAAAAAAAAAAAAAAA